TTGTGGTGACATTTAAAATTTCAACAATTTTCTCAACTGTGCAGCTATTAGCTGGGGGGTGGGGGTGGGGGGGTCTTTACAGTATGATCTAATGACAGACAGGCATCAACACAAGCGGTTGTTTCCCACTTCGTCCTAGTGCTCAACCCGTGTCGGTGTTTAATATAGCATAATATTGTGTTTGGACGATAAAAAGCACAGGGGACAAAACATGACACCCCCCCCCCCCCCCCCCCCCAACACACACACACACACCACCACCACCACCAAAATTACACCCATGCATGACAGCTTTATTTCCTCTCCAGGGTGCGGACGCTCAGGCACGAACAGAGGTGGAGAAGTGCTGCCACCGCGTGGACACTCTAGAGAACACTGTGGTGAGTGCATGGTCTCCACTCTGTCCAGCAGGGGGCGCGCTGACAGGATCATGAAGCAGCTTGTAAATGTCATGTTTCTGTGGCAGATGTGTCCATTTCTGTTTTGTTTTCTAATATTATTTTTTTTAAATGACCTAACTTTATTATTTATATTAATGTTTACATGTGTAATTTCAATCTAATGTAATTTTAAAAGTGTCATTAGTTGAAAAAAAACTAAGGTATTTTGCTATATTCTATCTGCAGCTTCTTCTGTGTAGTCATGTGCAGCGGTGTGTGGAAGCGAATCAGGTGTCAGACTGAACTACTGTGTGTTTGTGCATCTCTCTGATGTTCCATCTCCTCCCTGTGTGCCAGAGCTCTCTGAGGGAAACTCTTCAGAAATATCCAGAACCAGAGAAGCTGAGTCAGAGCCTCAGCTTTGTGCAGTCGGCCCAGTTCAACGCACACCTCAGCAAGGTCAGAAGCAAACAGTGGCCTTAGGAGTTTCATATGTGTGTGTGTGTGTGTGTGTGTGTGTGTGTGTGTGTGTGTGTGTGTGTGTGTGTGTGTGTGTGTGTGTGTGTGTGTGTAAACTTGAGGTCTTTAGACTCTTTCAGAAATGAGCGGATTAGTTTTCTAACATCAGAAGATGACACAGGTTGAAGAAACGCTTTCAGTCAGATCTGTTTTTATCAGTAATCACTTTGCCTGAATCATCACGTTTAAAGATCTGTTAAAGTTACAGATTTGATTTCTGAAGAGTTCAGGTTCTTTGACATCGGCTCTAAAATCCATAAAATCAGGCGTGGGTTCAGAGATCCAAATCTCTCATCTTTTCTCAGGGACCAACAAACACAGATGTCAGGGATTCAACCACGCCAGTAGAACCCCACAGTCCTACCATCAGACCTCCTCACACCCCCCCATCCTCCTCACCCGATGAGCAAGGCACCACACCAGCAGCTCCCTCTGAAATCGCCAACACCTCCGAGGCCTCCTCCGACCCACCTGCTCAGGTCAAAGGTGACCCAGACACAACAAAAGATGACATGGACTCGTTTGAGAAGATCAGCAGCTCACCGTGGTACCAGGAGATGATGGTGGCTGTGAAGACCATCAACAAACTGCAGAAGAAAGTCACCCAGCTGGAGGTTTGCTTATTGGATTTGGAGGAACATAAGATGGACCAGGTCCAGCTGGCTCAGCTCAACGAGCTCATCAGCAACAAAGGTACCACTACACCGGCTCTCAGCCGCTATCAGCTACAAGCTCTGCTCCCCTTTCTGTGTGTGTGTTCACGCATCAGAACTCACACACGGTTTATTAACCATAAAAACAGTTTTAAGACTTTAGATAAACATGCCATGTATCTACTAACTGCTCAGAACCAGGCCGGAGGTGATCCATCTCCAGAGAAACGTCACGTTCTCATTGTTGTTCTCTCAGGTTCTGTTAGGCACAACAACATGATGGCCCAGCTGAACCAGCAGAAAGTTTTGATAGAGGACCTGATTAGTGACCGAGACAAGGTAAGAGGACAAAACCAAAGACAGAGGTATTATCTGTTCTGGTTCTGACGGGCTGATGTATCTGTCCAAAGCTGGACAACCTGGAGGAGATGGTAATGACACTAACGATGAAGGACAGAAGCAGCAGCTCGGTGCCGGCCTCCGAGAGTCTGAATGTAGAGAGCCCAGCGTTTGATGAGCTCAGACAGCATGTGTTGTATCTCAGGTAAAGGCAGCGAGGCAGAGAGGTGAATCAGACATAAAGTGGTGCACTAACCCCGATCCAGTTCTGCTCAGAACTCCTGATTCAGTTTTATATTCAGAGTATTTTATAGTGATCTGGTTCAACAGTTCTCCGGGTTTCCCACGGCCCAACTCAGTTCCAGTGAGTTATTGTTTCTGACTGAGGGATGTTTATGTTTTTTACTTTGATCCATAAATCTGTCACAGAAAAGGTTTTCCAAACTAAGGAGATGAACCTGAACGGTGTGACACAACAGCAGGATGTCAGAGACACGTTGTTTTTTCTCATTTCTTTACCTGAATCTATGAAAAACGACGAAGACGAAACAGGATTTTAGCTCCAATAAGGTGATTAAAAAGCTCCGAACTGCATCAGGACTTCTGAACAGGCCTTTCTGCAGCTCTTCAGTCAGTCAAGTGGTTCACATAAACATGATCTACCTGATAAAAGGACTTTATTTTACTCTACTTGCTACAGAAAAACGGAGGTCTCTGTTTTGTTGTTTTACCTTCATGTCAGGAAGTCTTTACAGAAACTGGAGGAAGGCATGAAGTCTCTGAGGGAGCAGCAAGTTCAGCTGGAGGAAAGATGTTCAGACCAGAACCTGCAGGATCAGGTCAGACAGGAAGTCATTCAGAGGAAAGACTGTGGTCAGGGAGTTTTAAAGCACATGAACGATCCTCTCACCAGATAAAACCACTCACTCTGTTCAGTCACTGACTCTATGAACATGTCTAATCAGAGCTCTCTGACCTCAGCTGGATGACCTGCGGGCCACGCTAGAGGACACAATCCTGTCCGAGACCGCCCCAATGTCCAGCGGCCTCCGAGACAGGAGTGAGAAGCAGGGTGTTGGTGAGGTCACTGAGAGGTCACATCAAACCTCCATCCCTGTAGACGCTGGCGGTGAGCTCAGCCTTCTGCAGCAGCAGCAGCAGCAGCTGCAGGACGTGGTGAACGGTCTGATCCAGCAGCTGAACCGAGTCAAAGCGCTGCAGCTGGAGGAGAGACAGGCAGCCAGAGTCAGTACAGCAGACAGGTCACACTCCTGTGCTCCAGGTCACACTCTGTTAGGGGGATTGGCAGGTTGCAGTCTAGTCACTGGGTTAATCAGGTCTGAGTGTTGGGAAGTCAGTGTGTTGGGTCTAAGATGTGTTTGTGGTTCTGTCTGGGTCAGAATATTGGACTAGCGAAGGACGTGCAGCGGGCCATTCTGCAGCTTCAAGAAGACAGTGAAAAACTTCAGAAGACAACCAGGATCCTGCATGAGGACAGTGGACAGAAACAAGGGCTGATCGAGGTAAACCTCTCCAGATCGTCTCGTTTAGTCTGCAGACTAACGAGCTCTAATGCGACAAAACAGTTCTGGCTCCACCGCTCCCAGATGTACAGAAACACACCTACAGAGTACTTTAGATGTTTTCCTCTCATGTTTCTATCAAAAGTGTTTTTTTTTCCTCCCACAGGAGCTTTACGCCATGATGGAGGAGCTGGAGGTGAAAACGACCAACACGCAGACACAGGAACATAAAACTGTAGGTCTGAAGTTGTAATGATTTAAATGACATGTTATTTAATAAGCCATAAGACAAAAGATTCCATAGTAAATATGAAATCCACCTTATGGATCTGTGAGGTTATTTAAACCAGAAGATTGGAACTTTTTAATGCAGGGATTAGATAACAGCTTCGTATTCACTCAGAGACAACAGAAGAGAGAGAGTCGAGTTTAAAAGTTAAGAATGTTATTACTATCAAATTAAACTAGACTAACTTTAACACTAAATGTATGGTGTAACTAAAGTGGATGAGATGGAGAATGGTGTGATGTGGAATGTTCAGAACCAGCAAATCCGAAGAAGCGATTAGTTCTGATGGGAACTGAAGATGATGTCTTCGCGTTAAGCGTTGATTAGGAGATTCATAAACACATTCGACACTATTTGTCGGTCTACCTACCCTGAGCGGAAGTCCCCGTTAGATCAGGGGGTGTAAAGGTCCAGCTTGACCTTATGGAGCCGGAGCCTGTAGAAGCAGCCACGGCAGCTGACCAGACCAGTCTGTGAGATACTCCCGGGTCACAACAATTTTACTGGCATCTGGTGAGACCCAAACCTGGGTCGTGATGATTCAGCTTTTATTCTGAAAGGAACCGTTGCAGCAGGTGGAATAGCAACAGATTTTATCCAGCTTGTCGTCGGTTCTTTCGGCTGAAGAGGAAAGTTACGGATTGGCCACTCTGACAACTTCTCTAGAACGCTTTGAACTGGCGTTAAAGATGACGTGGGCATAGTTTTATACTTCGGATGTTTTGGTTCATGGTCGAATGAAAAGTTGACAGATTTACCAAACACCACCAAAACCACGCCTCCGTCAGATCTGGCAGATTCTGATTGGATCAGTGAAAGTAATGTGTCATGTCTTTTAACGCTACGTGAGATCAGTCCTAGTGGAACATTTAAAGTCATATTACTTATTATATTCTATAGGATTATAATAAAGTAATTAATATTTTGATTTCACAGATTGGTCACAACTTATTTATTGACTAACACTTGGTTTGATTAGCTTATTAAAATAGAGTTATTTGATTCATTAAAAGAAAAGAGTTCATTCTTCATTCTTCTGTTGAGCTGGAAAGAAGCAAATGCATGAGGCCTTGAGGCCCTATCTCATGCAGACTAGTTCTGTGTCAGAGGAGGGGGAAAACAGTCATTTCATTCTGTTACAAAGTCACTGGAGGGTTTTAAGAGGTTTTATAACACATCAGAATTTAGAAAATAATAACTATCAACATAATAATATGAGCCACTGAAATGAAAACGTAGAGTTTCCTGACTATGGTGTCTAAAATTAAACAGTAGAGATGAACGGTGGATCGTTCAGATGATGACCTCTGAGTAGTCTATTTCGTTGCCTGACCTCGCCGCCATGTTTTTAATCTCCAGCAGAAGACAGAAGGACCGGTTGTTGTGGTGAAGGAGCAACCGGAGACCGAGGTGCAAGAGTTTCCAAAAAACGTGGTGCTTCCGGAAGAGGGCTGGCAAGAATTCTCCCACAGACTTTCTTCTGAGCTGGAGACAAAAGTAAGGCAGCAGATTTGTGATGCTGATTAGAAACGTCATCATTATGTTTTCTGTTTTACTCTAGTTAACAATCTGATTCTATTTTAGGATTTCAGGTATCAGGACCTAATGTCGTTTTTCACAAACCGATTCTCTCTTCGTTTAGTTTTATGGTAAACGTTTGGTTTGTCTGACGCTGGATTTTAGAATACGTTTATGGTTTTACTCATTAAACGAAACAACACGGACCACGTCACAGACTGCTAAATCTTTGGATTTGGATGCTTTCTGAATTATCTTCATGTTTTTTGGAAATGAAAAATTTGATTTTCAGAAAATATGTTTTGGTTTCATTTGGAATTTGTTTACTTAAGCTAAATGAAATGAAAGAAGAGAGAAAAATATTAAATGAACTGGTTGATGAAACGCCCCTCTCCAGAGCGGGTGTAGTTTTATAACCGATGCTGAGTGTGGTCTGGAACGATGGATCCTCAGGTGAACAGGATTGAGGTGGACTATTTGATGCTGCAGCTGGAGAAACGTTGGAAGACCATTGAAGACAAGCTTAACTCTGAACTCGACAACGCCTGTTTGATCAAAAGGTGAGTCCAACAGTTCTGTTCCATCTGACCTCTCTCTCACACACACACACACACACACACACACACACACACACACACACACACACACACACACACACACACACACACACACACACACATACACACACACACATACTCACACACACGCATACTCACACACACACACACACACACACACACACACACACACACACACACACGCATGCGCGCGCACACACGCACACATACAAACACGCACACGCTTGTGCGCGCACACACACATGCATGCATGCACACACACAGACACACACACACACACATGCACACTCACACACACACGCACACATACAAACACGCACACGCGCGCACACACACATGCATGCATGCACACACACAGACACACACACACACACACATGCACACTCACACACACACGCATGCAGACACACACACACACACGCACACATGCACTCACTCACTCACTCACACACACACACACACACACACACACACACACACACACACACACACACACACACACACACACACACACTGGCTGAACAAAAGAGTGAAATCATCCTTTAAATCAACATCTAAGAATATGTCAGGTGTTTTATTTAAAACAGTCCAGGTCCGTCAGTTTGCAGAACAAACGAGTGAAACAATTTCCCTTTTTTCCTTTTTGTTTTCTTTACTTTTACAGTAAAAATCTTTTGTTCCCTAAACGAAAAAGTTGTGTTTATTTCCAGAGAGCTGTTTCACTGCCTGTCCTGTGATCGACCCGTTCTGATGCAAGTCCCCGGACCGTGAGTCAAAACAAGCAGATCGGGCTGCGATTATTTCTGTCTGACATCACAGAGCCTATTGTGTGCTTGTGTTTTGTCTCTGGGGGATAAAAGGATTGTGAACACACTTCCATCGTATCCTGCGCTTCCCTCCCACAAGTCGACCAGGCCGCTGAACGCAGACCTGCAGCAGAACAAGAGGTGAGACCTCCAGCCTTGGCCACACACACACACACACACACACACACACACACACACACACACACACACACACACACGCACGCACGCACGCACGCACACACACACACACACCTGCTGTGTAAGCTGCCCTCTCTGTCTCAGACTGAAACCAGGAGCCAGCCGCTACAACTGCTGGATGGGCACCCCTGGCAGGAAGAGGGTGGCGTTTCAGAGGAGCTACAACGACATGTGCAGACAGATAGACAGCATGACGTCAGCATGGAGACGGCAGGAAAACTGGGACAACACCAACCAGAATCCGGCAGGAGTCCAGCAGTGAGTCAGGTCCACTCAGGGACGAGGACAAATGTCTTCAAATAACCCAAAGCTCACAGACTTTAGAACACGCTGTCATGGACATTTATTTTCCTAAATGCCTCGGCTCTCTGACAAATGTCCAATGTTCTTTTAAGAATAATGTATCGTCCTAAAAGGGACCGTTGGCCCAGTGAGTAAAAAACCCACAATAGTCATTAAAACACATCTAACTGAACCGCAGATCGGGCAAAGACCCACAAAAGTTGGTTTGAGGACAGGATCTGGACATCCCAGCTTGTTTGAGCTCAGTGGATCTGAGTTTAGTTGTTATCATCGTGAGAGGGTTTGTCTTAGCTTAGATGGATTCAGGTCTGATCTGTGTGATTTGTGTAAAAATCTGAAACACAGAAGTGAATCAGGGGAATTGGAAGGAGAGGCACTAAATTAACTGTTTTCTAGTTAATCAAGTGGTGACCCAAAAGTCAAGAAGCGTCTCTTTGACTCGCTGTGGTTTGTTCTGTTTAGACGACAGGATGAGACGAAGCAGCTTGATGGAAATCAGTAGCTGTTCTCTGTTCTTAAACAGTTATTTTTCCTGATTAGTGAGTGGACCTCTGAGCTGATGGACAACCAGGCGGTGCCGCGGAGCAGTGGGGGCAACAGCCTGCAGGGCACCAAGCTCCTTACTCACACACAGGCGGAGGGCATGACTCAGGTAGGAAAAAAGAAGCTGGTGAAGCTCGACAGAACAAATTTAGATCCTGTTCACCTCATCAGAACCTCACACTCAGATGTTTCTGGGTCATTTACAGGAGATCGGTGTCATTGGACTAGACGGTCACCTGTACAAAGACTGCCTGAGCATCCAGGCTCTGAAGAACACTGAAACCAAACTACCTACAATCGCCACCAAAGACGGTGAGTGTGTTTAGGTTCTGAAGCCTTCTGCTTCATGACACACACACCACTTTTTAGGTGCACTCATAGTCTGATCTTTATGGTAAAACCAGCTCAACATCAGAGCCGCTGACAGCCAGAAAAACACCTCCATGCTTTTCTCTGTGATGCTGCCACCACCTACCATGTAACTCTTTATCATGGAGCCTGACAAAGATTTCCCAGAATCCTCCCTGGCCCATGTGGTTCTGTCAGCTGTCGCGTGATTTTCTGATGTGGTGCTGTCTGACGTAGCTCAAGTCCTTCAACCCTTTTCAAGGATCTGAAGATATTAGGAGAAAATCTTTGTTTTTAATCAGTTCAAGGATTTTTCCAGAGCTTTGGTCCAGCTGAAGTTCCTCTGAATATCTTTGCTCCTGAAACACTTGCTGCTTTGTGGCTGAATCAGAGATCAGAGATCATCTTTGCAGCTCTTGAAAGAAGCTATTTCTGTTTGAAATACATGAAAAAGAAGTTTTGTTGAAACAATGAGTTTGACGGAGTTTAAACATTTGATCTGTGCAGATGTTTTTCTCATGTTTCGGATCTCTGATAGCTGCAGGCACGTGCAAAATAAAGAACAAGGCCAAGAACTCCGCCTCCCAGAGACGTGCTGTGCCCCTAGAAGTGGGACAGACCACACCTGTCCATCAGCTCCCCCCCAGTGCCAGGAGCATGCAGTGCAGCCCCCCAGGTGAGTTGACTAGAACACATCCAGGCGAGCTGACGTGCATGTTTAAAACCAAAGCCCGATGACGTCACGCCTCTTCCTGCCCAGCCTCCAGCTGCTCTGGTCGGGACTGGCCCGTCTCAGCTCTGGGCTGCTGCACGTCGCAGAGCTCCATCACTCAGACTTCTGCTGCAGCAGAGAGCGCTGATGATCCTCAGATCGATGAACCACTCGACCTGTAGGTGGCGGCAGAGCTCTGCTGAAAGACTTCCGGTCCCATAGGTAACCTTCACCTCTCCGAAGACTGAAACTAAATAAATTTTATCAGAGGCATCGTCTGTTTGTTTCCACCTCTGTGATCAAACCTGATTTTTTTATTTATTTAATACAAACTAATAACTGAATATAAGTTTTTTTGCTGCTGCTGCAGAAGATTTTCCAACCAAATCCAATGAAACTTAATTTTAAAGTGAGTATTTTTGGCTGCAAGTTGGTGTTTGTGGGGCTGAGTCAGCTGTTGTTGCATCATACAACCAGAAAGAGAGAACATCCTGTTCACAGAAACACGAGGCTTTAAGCAGGAAGGAAACATGGAGGTGTGGTTACAACTCACCCTGATGGTTTCTAACTTTCAGGAATCTGATTCTTTAAATACGCCACGTGTTCAACCACAAACGTCCCGGAAACGAGAAAAATTCAAACAGTTCAGTTAAAATTAGATCAAAGGTCAAACTTTCTTCTTCACTCTGTAAAAACAAGTTTTTGGGCTGAAAACTAAACATAAAAATAACATGAGAAATATTTAAAGACACCGCAGTGCTTTTTAGTATAAATGAGTCGATTTCTGTAGGGAAAAAAAGCTCTGGTGCTCCTGTTTCAGGAAGTAGAAACGAGCCAGAGTAGACGGCAACAGAACACGGCAGGATTTCCTGATGTTTGGATATCTCTCCTCTGATTGGCTAACAGCAACAAGACTCTACCACTGACTCAGCTCTGCAACACAGATAGTTTATCTCCTCAAATAACACAAGTCTGAAGGAGTTCTGCCATTTTGAGGAGTTGCTAGCGAACGGTTAGCTTTTACTAGCTGAGAAGTGCTTTGTTGCGTCTCCTGGCTGCGAAACCAACAACAGCCTGGTACCTCATACTCCTGAAGTACCCCTCGAGGGGCGTGGTCAAACGCCTTCTCCAAATCCAAATAACTTACAGTGTGACGCAGATCCGATCCGAGCGTTTCTCCATCTTTTTTCCTTCAGCCCACCAATGCAGGACGTATAAATGGGGTAGAAGACTATTTTCACGTTCAGCCTGTTAAACTCAGTGTGACCGATCATATTTCAAAATAATAAGTAATAAACTGTTTTTCAGTGAACTTGGCCTTTAACTTAAACACTTTAGTTTGGAAAACACCTCTGAGAACACGAAGATGTTTTTTCTCTGAAAGACTGGGTCTGAATCAGAAAAGTTTCATAAAACTGCAGAGAAAAAATACTGAAGCAGACCAGAAAAATGTTCAATAAATCAGAAGTTTGAACCAAACTAAAGTGCTGGTTTTAGCCTAATAAAGACTTAATGGGCACCAGCCAGCCTCAGAAACACTGATCTGTGACTCAGACGTTATAAAGTTTCTGTGTTTATTAAAGTCTTAGCGACGTCCAACTCTGTGGTTCCAGCAGGAATACATTCATTTGTGTCATTTAATTAAGAAGGTCCCATTTAGATAAACTGTTTCAAAGGTGGAAGCTGGGATTGAACCAGCAACCTTCCAGGTCATCCAACATTCAGAATAAAAAGGACTCTGGTAATAAAACTTTTCCACCTAGAGCTGCTTTTGTTCCTTAAAGAGCAAGTCACCCCCTACCAGTCTGAAGGTTGGTTTATGCTTGACGCGTCCGCGAGGTCCACACGGCTCCGCGCAGCAAAAGTGCATCATTTTAACAACCACGCCCCTCCGCACGGCCCAAACTTTCCGTATCGCACACCTAGGAAATTTTCTAACCACGCGGACGGTCGGACGCGGAAAAACATGGCGGACTGGCAAGAACTAGTACAGCAGAGGTTGGTAAATACAGACATTTGTATGATTCAGCTCTCAGAGATCACCGTGATCAACATGTTGTTAATAATTCTTGGAGAGAAATAGCTCGCACTGTCGGAAAAGACGAGGACGCTGTTAAAAAATGCTGGAATGCCATGTTGTAAACAGTAATTTCTTCTTCTACTATGGTGTAGTGTTGGATGCATGCCATAGAGCTCCATGCTGCCCCCTACAGTTTGGGAGAATATTGGCTCACCGCAGAGACGAGCCGCATGAACCATAAACGCTGCGAGTTGTGAAGCGCGTTCCATTCACGAGCCGCATCACCAAGCGGAAAGTGAATGCATCAAGCATAAACCAAGCTTAACTCCATGCTGTAGTTCTTTTTTAAAGCACAGAACAGTTTTGTTACCTGTTTTCCCGCTACGTTTCGCAACAGGTAACAAAACTGTTCTGTGTTTTAAAAAAGAACTACAGCATGGAATTAGAAATAGGACACAGCAAGAACACACCTAAGAAGCTTGACTCCACTCCCACTTCATGTTTGAAAAATGCAACAAATGCTGTTGCCTGGCAGACCGAGAGGGCGGAGCTGCTAACAAATACACACACATCATAATGTACCAGTTTATATTATAGCATACCTCTTAGCCAATAGCGGTGGCAGATTTAAATTCAAATACAGTGCAGAGTTTTTACCTGACAACGGCACAACACTGCCAGTTTTAGGCAGAATATTTAAATTTTAACTAAGATGCACTGAAGTGCCAAATTATTGACGACATGTGTCTGCAGCACGATTAGACACACGTTTATTTAGTTTATCAGCAAAAAAAGAGTTTATTTGGGGGTGACTTGCTCTTTAATACTGGAATCTTCCCATCACGACTCAGAAACAGAACTCATCAGTTTGTCGGTGAAAAAGCAGCCTGTTCGACCGTCTGACCACATCCTTCCTCACTCCTCAGCCACCAGCAGCTTCACAGAAACTCCCCTCAAAAGTTGTTAAAGTGAAACACGTAACAGAAACCCACAGAGCAGAGCGCCTTTTATTAAACATATAAATACAAATTTAAACCCAGGAGATCAACACAAAAGTACTAAAAGGAAATCTCTAGAAAAGAGTCATTTATAGATTGTGAGTTTCAGAAGATCTGAGAGACAGAATGTCATCATGACACACGGAGTGAGAAATCAAAATGACTCAAACTGGAGGTAAAGTTTGTAAACTCAGAGAGGTGGAGCCAATCGGTGAGTTTATTGGGCTGAATATCGTTAGAATTCCAGAGGAAGGTGGCGACACAAAGTCATTCAGCCTCCTGCGGCGCGTCGGCCGGCAGGAGGCTCAAACAAAAGCCCTGCAGCTGATCCGGTACGCAGCAGCAGAGTTTCCACTCGTCCCGTCACCACCAACAAACCACGCAGGAATTCCTGAGCTCCGACGTGCTTCGGCTCGTTTAGAGGAGCTCAAAGCAGAAAAAAATACATCTTTAGGTCAGAAAACGGCATCAGAACCCGGCTGTGAGAGGGAAGGACCAGACCCACGCAGGTTTGATGTCCTGTCTCAGACATTTAAAGGACCGTCTCAGTGTTTACATCTTCACTGCTCATCTGACGAGTTTAGGACCGTTTACACAAACCACACAGAGCTGACGGTCCGCTCAAACCAAAAACATGACGCGGTTTCAGTCGCTGAAATAATCATCTGACTGAAGGTTACGCGTTTTTCTCTGGCGGTCTCTTTATTCATCATCGCTCAAATGAAAAGACGGCTTTAGTAAAAGTCAGTAAAGAGACGGCTGAGCGTAGAGTCGTGTGATCCGTTAACAACAACTGTCTGCAGCTCGGCTTCAGAATGGGATCATTTTCACTAAACTGGATGTGATGATGTCACATCCTGAATCCTGATACGAGACCCGGTCTTATTGGTCCCCACTGACAGGGTGGTGATTGATGATGTGGACAAAAAAAGTAAAATCTGAACACAAATCAAATCTTTTTCTCATTTTCACCAAAAGTCTTTACAAAAAACACTGAAAACGGTCCTTTTAAAGAAGGTCAATAAACACGAGAAAAAACCTGGGAAACAAAATCGGGGTTGAAGCATTTAAGAGAATTAAAAATGTTTCTGGTGTTAAAATAAAATCTGTCCATCTCCGACGTCGCAGCCGCGCCGCAGAACACGGCTGATTGTCTGCATGAAGAGCCAGACCTGCATCTTCCTTCCTGACGTCAAAAACGAGCGATTCCGCCCTTAATCCCAAAGCTGCAGCTGACTGAAGCGCTGTGACCTGTGGGACGCAGGTGGAACATTCTGAAGCTCAGATACATTCAAAGGACTCAGACACTCGGAGGTAGGAGCGGTTCAGCGTCTGGAAGGTCTGCGTCTGCGCTTCCGGCAGACCCCAGATCAGCTTCAGATCTGTACGACTGTTTTTCTGAGCTTAACGTGAACGTCAAGTGGAAAGTTTTAGGTTTTATCTACAGAGAAGTCGCAGACTCAACAGGAGCGAATCAGCGCTCCGTCATTAATCCCGTTATCGCAAACCTTGCACCCGTTTCAGCGTTCTCCAAACCAAGTCCAGGTTTCTGTCGACACCTTAAACCCACCCATCCCCAAAGAGCAGGGAAACAGTTTCTCCAAGTCCTCCACAACCCTCTGGAAGGAAAGTGGTCACATCTGCTTAACCATGAATAGATGAACTCGTTTTCTGTCACAAACCACGTAAAACCGCCAGCAGGGACCCGTTTTGATTCATGTCAGAATCAGTGAGCACGCTAAACCAAAAACAACCACTGGATGCAAAAATGTTGAGACGCATCTCATTTTCCTTCCAGATGTTTTGACCTTTCAGGGAAGACTTCCTTCAGGGATTTCCAAACTTTCTGCACAGCTGGAGATCAGCTCCACTGTATGTTTCTATGGCTGGGAGTGAAGCTGAAGCTCGCAGCGTTCTGTCACTGCACATCTGTAATCCTCCACACACACCCCGACACCTCCCAAAAACGGTTCTATACCATTCTGCTTCCTGTCTTCGTCTGCTGGTTATTGCTGACTTCCTGTTTATCTCTGACATCCGTCAAAGTTTCAAAACAAAAGTCGAGGACTGATCAGAGGTCTCATCAACAGATCACATGGCTCCTATCCTCAGGACGTGCTCTAGTGGCTGCATCCATTTGTGTGTGAGTGTGTGTGAGAGCGACAGAGAGAGAGAGAAAGAGAGAGATTTTGGGGCTCAGAACATCCAGCGGCGGGTCAGGACCATCAGAGACCCGGTGGGTTCTTCCTTAATGAAAACAAGAATTTGTTTGTTTTCAGTTTAAAAACAACAAGAGGGAAGCAGCAGCGTCTTTGTCCTCCAAATTAATCCATTCATGATCCACCCCCCCACCCCGCCCCCCACCTGTGCAGTCTCATCTTTGGCCGTGCAGCGCCGATACGACAGGGGGCTGCTGGGAGCCACTGGGCTGGGACACGGGGGGCCACATGGGAGTCTGTTGGAGGTGGTGGTGGTAGGGGTGGTGCAGGTGGTGACCTGTGGGGGACGAGGGGGGTAGCCAGGCTGGCTGGTGGCTGGGTGGCGAGGAGGCCCAGAAGGAGCTGAAGCCGGACGTGGAGGAAGGTGGAGGAGAGCAGGCCATGGACGCCTGGGAAGGGACGCTGCCGCTGCCGGGGCCACAGTCTGATGCCCGCAGCTTGGAGAACATGGTGATGGCATCTGGAAAGTTCGGCGGTGTGGCCGGAGTGTTTCTGGGTGTGCACATCTGGAGAAGAAGAGAAACCATCAGACTTTTATCCTAAAGAAGCAGAACTGATGCAAAGGTGACCCCCCCCCCCCACCCCCCACCGACTGAAGATTTTCTCATCATCCATTTTATATTAATTCAAGATGATGATAGAAATTCTAAGTTTAGAGCTGATCTGCAAGTTAAAATTTGATATTAACAGATTCTGACATTTTGAATATTTTTGTGGAAATTTTATTTAAAAAGTCACGTGCAAATTGTTTTAAATGCTAGATTCAGATTCACAAGATCATCCTCACTCACACACACACACACACACACACACACACACACACACACACACACACACACACACACACGCACGCTAATCTCTCATATTTTCCTACACACCGCAGCAAAGCCAACCAAACCAAAACCAACCCCGTGAACTCTGTGGCTTTTATTTTGACATTTCCTGTGACGTGTCACTGATGTGTTTGTTGGTGTCCGTTCCACTCCAGCGGCTGTTGGTCAGAGCAGTCAGACACGTTTCAGGCAGTACTTTTCCTGTTACACGTACGACCCTCATGGATAACTGGTTCTGCAGCATTTTAACTGCTGATGCAGACAGACAGATGACACTGATTGTAACGGGGTTCATAACAACACCAGGCCAGGCTGTCGGCTACATCCTGGTCCTGTTAACCTTTACTCAGACTGCTAGTCTAAAAACTCAAAGGGATGGCACCCTCTTAGGGTTCTAAAACCCCCAAGGTGCTTCACAACACAGTCAGTCACACACACACACACGCACGCACGCACGCACACACACACAAACACACACACACGCTGGTGGTGATGAGCTACGATGTAGCCACAGCTACCCTGGGGCGCACCGACAGAGTCCCTACAACCACCACCAGAAGGCAAGGGAGTTAAGTGTCTTGCCCAAGGACACAACAGCAGCATTCTCTGGTCTGAACTGGGATCGAGCCTGCAGTTACTGGACAACAAGCTCCACCTCCTGAGCTACTGCTGTCCCTGTGGGCTGCTTTCTTGAACCTGCACTGCTAAACGTGTATTTCCTGTTTCCCCCTCTTGTTGTTATTCTGAGTCCTGACAGCTGAATGCTTCCCGCCGGTTCTTATAAAAACCCAAACATCCTGATTGTAGCCGGTTCTGGTCCTAACATGCCTCACAATGCTCCTCAGGGCTGCAACATAAACAAAGGAGTGGCTCTTTCATTCTTCCTCTCAGAGCTGCCCGGCACAAGGAGGCTTAAGGCAAGATGACATCACCCAAAATGATAAACAAACACACTTCCTCATACGGACAGCCAGGCTTTAGTCTGACACGTCCGTATGACGACAGCAGGTTTGTTCTGTTTACTCTTCATGATGAGAAACGTTACAGAAATAAGAATCCGGATTCAGCTGTCGCTATGGCAACAGACATCCTCTCATCTCATCCTCTTTTAAATGATTCAACGCTTTCCTGAAGGAGATTTCTGGCGTTTTTCCATCTGATTTATTCCTTGTTACAAAACTCACTTATGGCTGTAAATCCTGCGATACATAAAACAGAATCAAATATACCATCACAGCCTGAGTAGCTGAATGTTTGATTCAATTTTACAAATTCAGGTTTATTTTATTTTAGGAAATATAAAGAAGATAAGAGTCTGGAAGCAGCCAGAAAGAATCGCTCAAACACTGAAGAGGAGAAACCACACTCACCATCTGATGGTGGCTCGGGATGTTCGCCTCCTGGAAGAAGGAGCTGAGGGCTGTCTGCAGGCAGAAACGGGGAGGCGGAGTTAATATTTGACCTCATCTAGGAATCATTGCACTAAAACATGGCTGAGCCCCGAGAGGAAGGGCTGGCCCCTCTTCATCAGGAGTGCTGGGGGAGGGGTTACACGCCACACTGAGATGTCAAACAGCAGAAAGATGAAGACTTGATGATGTCTAAAGTTTCTGTTTCTGACTGATTATAAAGAATCTGTGAGCATAAAACCAGTCAGCCGCCTGAGGCAGTTTCATTTCAAAATGCTTAGATTAATAAAATGACCTCTTAAACTCTTAACTCGTTCACTGCCATTAACGACTAAAGTCGTCATTTGCATGTTTTTACTGTGTGGGCATCGGCACGAGCCCCCGCATTGAGAGAACAAACATCTCGGCCCTGAAGCCGATCTTCATCCGCGTACGTCACACTTCACGTGATCAGGAAGCAGAACATCCATGTGTTAGATCGTTTTGGGCCGTTCCTGTAAAAAAAGCGAGGCACGAACCGGAAAAGCTTCTGCCGATCACAATTCAACAACGGATCATGAAAGAACGGATAACGCTCGAAACGCGCAGATTCTTCCTGATGTAAGAGGCGAGTCTCCTCATTGTTTTGGTGTCGACATCATCCTAGCGCGCAACGTTCTGTGACTCTTAAAAAAACAGTAAAAACGGTGAGAAACGCTGGCAGCGAATGAGTTAATCTGAACAATTTCATTTGAAAAGAAGACAGATATTAATTTTATTGTGGCTAAAATATTATTACTATTACTTTACATTAAGAGAGAACTAGGCAGTTTTGGCTTGCTTTTAGCAAGTGTCCATTTGTAGAACTGAAAGAAAACGTATCCTCACCGTGCGTTCGTCTTTTTAACACCTTAATCTAACCGCAGAAATGTCTCCCCAGCCTTCATTAATGTCTACAGAAGTGGTTCATCACTAAATCAACCAATTCAGCTGTGATCATGATCTAAAACATGCAGGAAACGTGCTGGAAGCAGACTGCAGCGCCAGGTATGTCAGCTCCATTTTTTCTAAGTCCCAACAGAGCAGCCCACCAGTCTGAAGTTGCAAGTGGAATATTCTGGCCACAGGGGGCGATAGGGGCTGGGGGGGGGGGGGGGGGGGGGGGGCTTTCATTAACCCTGTAAAAGGTCATTTTAGCACATACTGGCTCAAGAAAATCTGTTTTTCCTGTTTGTGAGACGAACCCCTCCTCCATAGCCAGGTTACTGGTATGGAAGCCTGGAAAGGCCAAAATTCCTCAAACGTTTTTTTCCCCTACTGGCTGATATGAATTGATAAAATAGAGTAAATGTTATTAGTCCCACAGTGAGGACATCCACTCATTACATCAGCACACACAGATTACAGTAAAACTGATTCCAGACATGTTTGCTTTGATAACTTCAATAACTTCATGCTGATGAACACATGAACATAATCCTGTTTAGTGGATGCAACTACATCATGAAGTTAGCTTAACATGATAAATTGTTATTATTTCCTTCCAAGAAAAACAAACAAACTAACTAATAATAACAGGAGGCATCTGGTCAGAATGCCTCCTGGACGCCCCCCTGGTGAGGTTTTCCGGGCACGTCCAACCGGGAGGAGACCTAAAGGTAGACCCAGGACACGGTGGAGGGACTATGTCTCTCACCTGGCCAGGGAACGCCTTGGGATTCCCCCGGAGGAGCTGGCCCAAGTGGCTGGGGAGAGGGAAGTCTGGGCCTCTTGACGCTACTGCCCCAGCGACCCGACTCCGGATAAGCGGATGAAAATGGATGGATGGAAATAATAACTGGTAATATTATGAATGACATGATATTGCCCACCCCTAGATGGAATTAAATTTTTTTTACATTAATTATAATTAAAAGTTCCTGTGTGACATATAGCTGTAACTCTTTACGACAGACAGACAGACAGACAGACAGACAGACAGACAGAGACAGATAGACAGACAGACAGACAGACAGACAGACAGACAGAGACAGATAGATAGATAGATAATGTGAAATTCAGGAGAGTTGGATGTTGAATTTTCCTCACGAAAAGAAAATTTGTATTGAACAAAGGTCAGTTCCCTCTGTAAACTCAGAGGTATGGAAGAGGATTAGGGCCACTGAAAAGAAGAAAAAAAAAGAAGAAAGAGAATTCTGACTTTTTTCCCTGAATTCCGTCAGAATTCCGAGATCAAAAGTCATAATTTTGAGAAAAATGTAAGAATTCTTTCTGTTCTGTTTTTTCTTGTCAGTGGCAGCAACGCGACTCTACCAATGACTGCATTTGCTCTGGAACTTTGATGTTTTGTCTCCACCAATAAAACAATCCTGAAGGAATTCTGCCACTTTGCGGAGTTGCTAATGCTAACGGTTAGCTTCTACCAGTTGAGGCACACCGGTGCGTGTTTGTAGACACTAAATCAAGAGCAGCCTTCTTCGTGAACCAAGATGAGCGAGTCGAAGAATGCTAATTTTCAGTATGACGCAGATCTGCAGGCTTTTCTAATCCTGCATTTCCCCGCCATTTTCCATCAGCGACAAAAGAAGACATGAGAGGTAGAAGACTATTTTTACATTCAGCCTGCATGTGAAACTCAGAGTGACCGATCATATTTGTAAATTAACAAGTAAAAACCTGGCCTTTCATGGGATGTTTTCTGCTAAATCAGTGATGATGAGGAGTTTGCAGCAGGAGGAAGTCACATGTTTCAACAGCAGCTACTGGAGATCCTTCCTGCCAACAGCCATTGTAATATACAACAACTCTTTGATGACTTGATTATTATTATTACTCTGAGCTACTACAGCAATCAATTTCCCTCTGGGATTAATAAAGTATTTTTTAATTGAATTGAACTGAATTGAAGGTCAGCTGCCATTTGTTCCTGTTGACATGAGCAACCTTCAGTTCTTCATAGTCTTTCTGAAGGAGCTTCTTGTTGCTCTGTTTCATGTTGCTTTGCACCAGAGGGCCAATTTGAGCTAATCTGAGGATTTCTGCATCTGTGTGTGTGTGTGTGTGTGTGTGTGTGTGTGTGTGTGTGCAGGCTTTTTTTCTTTACACTTGTTTCCCTCGGGGACTTCTGTTTGGCCAAAACGTCGTTTTCTCCAGTTGCACCGTGGTCTTTCACCTGTGGGGGTGTATACAAACCACTGAGCAGATAAAACTGACTCACACGTTAGACACTTAAACGTCCTACTTTATTACAGACACAGTGAACTAACCACTCGTGTTCTGTTGTTTGTGGAGAACTAACTACAGCGAGGTCTTGTTTTAATTCTTTCTGAGGATGAATCTTTGTGCTTTCAGACTTTCAGGAATGTTTTCTGTCTTTGAGCCACTGTGTGTTTTTGTCCTTGGCGGTCAGTGTTGCAGCCAAACTGAAGAATCCTCTGACTGAAGGCACTGTTCCATTGTCGGACAGTCTTGTGAAGAGAATGCTCAGGGTTGTCCATCATTTTCTTGATTCTCTTGAAAATCCTTCTTTGCATTATCTCCTCCAGCGGTTCCGAAACTGCAGAAACTCTGGCTGAGTCCTTGAAAGGGCTTGGAGTTCCTCCATCTTGTTGGCCAGTGATCTCACATTGCCCATTATGATCGATGGAAGAGATGGTTTGAATTTCCTCTTTCTCTGTCTCCGTTTTGCTCCCGCTCTGCACCCACGCTTCTTGTGTTTTAGCTCATTTGGGATTTGCGGCTTTAGTTGAGGTATTATTTCAGCCTTTCCAATGTTAATCAGCTGCTCCCGATTGTAAACCAGCTTGTTGCCATGGTTACACATAATAACAAATGCTCAAAAAGTGAAAAAAGCTTAAAAATAGCAGTAAAAATCCTCCAAGCTTCACAGCACCAGAAACAGAAAAGTAAAATGTCCAAAAAAAATACAGTTTTTCTTGAGAAACTAGAAAAAAAAAAGCCCAAGAAAAGCCTAAACTTACATATAGTCAACAGAGCTACTCCAACATGCAGCCACCCAGAGCAGCACAGTTCTGGAAAAAAAGACCGGTTTCAGGAGGAGAAAGTGAAGAGCACCACCCTCTTGCAGGAACTGGACTAACTAAAGATCCAAGACCTGTTTCCAGGAGCTGAATCTTAAACATGAACAACACATTTCAGGAAGACAAGAAAGCACTTTGTGCTTTCACAAGTTCCTGCAAGACCAACGCCTTAACCAGCTGAGAGCTCAACAGCATTCACTGCATCAAACTTTGGTCTAGAAGCAGTAGATGATGCAGTAAGAGGCTGAACTGGAGGACATCTAAACATCTCACCAGGAACTCTTGAGCCATCCAAGAGGATTAGGTAACGGCTCTCTTCCAAACACAAACAGAAGGAAGTTGACAGCTGAGAATGGAAATCTGCTTCAGATTCTGCATCCTTTGAGCACGAGAAGATCTTAAATTCAGAGATTGAACTAAAGACTCAAGTTCAAACTTACGCCGAACTGAGTCAGAAACTTTCTGCTGAGTTGGTGAACAAAGTGGAACACGGTCCTGCCAAAAGAAAGATCCCCCATCTTCAGGCACCAGTCCAGGACCAGGTCATCATCCCAGAAATCCTCCCTGATGTGGACTCCATGGAGTCGGCTGAGCTGATTACAGAATCCCTCCTAGTGCCAACACCCGCAAGGGATCTGGAGCTGCAGCAGACGCTGGGTTCCTTCTCAGAGACAAGGAGGAAGATTTCTTCCATGTGGAAAAAAATCAAGACACCTGCTGGACTCATAAACCAAACAGGATCTCCACTTCCTTCATAAAGGCTAAGCTAACACTAAACCCATCATAAAGGCTAAGCTAACACTAAACCCACTTGTTACGTTTTTTACTTTTCTGCAGAGACAGTGTGTGTGTGTGTGTGGTGTGTGTGTGTTTGTGTGTGTGTTTATGCATTTTACCTGTGTTTATCTTTAAAAATCTCACTTTTACAGACAGGTCATCAGCTGTTTAGATGAGGATTTGGCTTCACGTTAATAAAAAAGGCACTGCTGATGATGGTGTTCTCAGTTATTAGACAGGGTTCGGCTCTGCAGCGCCCCGCTGGGAGTTACTGACATGCAAAGTTAGGTAATAAAGCTTTATTTATACTGAACCAGAGTTACAAAGATATTCTATTAAATAAATACAATAAAATTACCATATTTCCCGGCCTATAAGCCGCTACTTTTCCCCACGCTTTGAACCATGCGGCTTATAATGAGGTGTGGCTTCACTGAAGATTTTCCTTCAACTGCCACTAGGAGGCGCTTTAGCAGAAAGTGAAACAGGTGGAAGTCAAAAGTGGAAATGGAAGAAAGTGCTCATTTTAATTTAGCACATGCAAGCAGCCGGCACGACGAAGAACTTGTTTCAAATCCATACCCCCTCATCATGGAAACTACACGTATGAGTTCATATGATGCTGCATTTAAGTTGAAGGCCATCGATCTGGCAGTAAAGGAGGGAAACAGCGCTGCCGCACGTAAGCTTGGCATGAATGAATCCATGGTTCGGCACTGGAGACGGCAGCGGGAAGAACTCATTCAAGCCAGCTTCACCCGGGATGATGACAGGGACACGGACATCGCCACAGAAAAGGTATGTGACGAAGCTCTTCTGAGGCTGTTCAACTCCGACACTGAAGATGATGACTACAGTGGTTTCAGTCCGCAGGAGGACGATGAATAAACTAATCAATAACTTTTCTGTTTTGTTTGATACTGATCAGTTCAGTTACGTTCAGTTAAACTACGTTTTAAATCCAGTAGATATCTGCGGCTTTTAGCCCGGTGCGGCTTATATTGAGGTGCACTCTATAGTCCGGAAATTACGGTAGACTAAAACAATCATAAAATAAGATTAAAAGCAGTGAAATGATGAAATAATTAAGCCTAAACTTCAACAGTTATTTTTTATTCACACACACACACACACACACACACACACACACACACACACACACACACACACACCGTCTCTCCCTCCCCCACGCTGTGGTTGTTTGACAACAGCGGCGGCGGTGCAGGAATGTGTGTGTTGGACGTGACACACACATCGAGGTGTGAAAGTGCCGCCCTGTTCTTTGTCTGCTCTCTGTTTATTGGTCGGCTCTCGGCCTCGTGTCACTCGGTTCCGTCTGCCCAGACAAAACAAAATGTACCCGACTCTCTCAGAGAAAAATGGGAATTTTGTCTTTCCATGCTGAAACATTAACACCTATTCCGACAACCACCTGCTGCTTCCTGCTCCTCAGATCTGAAGTTCTTTCTGTTTGAGAACTAAAAACTTAATTCTTGCTTTGGACTTCATCACTGTCGTTGTTCCACTTGTGGAAATTAAAACACAACATCTGATCTCCCGTCACACCTACGAACAGATATCAGCTGATCAGTTGTTTTGGATTTTTGAGACAAATGTTTTGGTAAAAGTACAAAATTTAAACCGTTCTAAAGGTCTGGGACAGAAACCAGTGCCAGCATCTTTTGGTGATCAGAGTGAAGCTCTTAACAAGACAAGCAGAAACAACAGTCTTCTACCAAGGCTGAAGCTTTATGTCAGCGATCATTAGAAATAATCCCAGAGATGATCACATCCACGCGGCTCTGCCTCGGAAAACACGTTTAGTTTACGATGACAGACGAACGGCCCCTTGAACATTAAGCAGGAAGAGAAAATATCATTTTCACTTTCAAACAAAAACTAACACGATGCACAAAGACCAAAAACATGTTGTTTACTATGTTTACACACTGAGGAGACTAAACACACCACTCCAGTATTACGTCAACACACTCACACACTGTGACAACACGATCATAAAGATCAATCAGCTGATTGGCTGTGCGGTTCATCTCTGCTGTCCGGGTGATAATAATGAATGTTACGGACTCCCGTAAGTGTCGGATCACACAAAAGATCCCCTGACAGATTAACAAACCGTCTCCGAGTCGACGGCAAAACCAAAACAAACGTTTCTGACTCACTGCCGGCCTGAGTAACATGTTCAGACACCAAGGTTGGACCGAGCCAAGAGAGGTGTGTTCTGTTGGGAACCATCTGGAAATTCAGGGATCCTGAAGGCGTGTCCGATGTTCAACCATCAGGAGAAAAGAATCACCTATTCAACTCACTGGTTTCCCTCTTTTAAAAAGACTAAAAATGGTCCTGAATAAATACAAACTGAGTTTTTAGTTTTATTAAGATTCTGAGGAAAACTTTCAGCCTAACAGCTTTTAAACAGCTCGCCACTTCCTGATAGAAGAAACCAAAGATGATCAGTGTCTCACACACAAACTGAAAACAGCAACTCGGAGAATAACAACAGCAGGGCAGCAGCCGGCGCTCGTTTTCCTTTCTCCTTCCTTTAATTATAAACGGTCAGTCGGGCTAACGTCAGATCTGAATCCAGTGAAAAACGCTCGTCAACGTTTCTCACAATTCAACAATCTCCTGTCTCCCTTCTAGTCTCACAGCTGGTCCATGTTTGGGATTAATGACCTTTATGCCACATCCCTTTATCAGTCTTTTATTATTATTATAGATGTGGGATTATTGTGGTTGTACAATCTGGTGGTTTATTTAAACACGCAAACAACATAAATGTAAACAGAATACGATAATAACTAATGAGCTATGGAGTGAACATCTGTTTCTTCATGTTTCTTGCAGAATGTGTTAAAGCTCTTCAGATGTTTGCTGTTTTCTTTCTTTGTTTATTTTTTACAAAACATATCAAGAAACAGTTTGAATTCATGACTTCATAAGATCAGTTTCATCTGATCTTCAGTTCAGCTCTGATGTCACTTTTAAACCGTCGCCCGTCTCACCCAGTTTCCTTTTCGCTGAAGAAGTGGCCAGAATCCCACTGGAGGCCTCGTCTGTGGAAGCTTTAATGTTCCGCTGAAAGCTCCATTCTGTTTCTGCTCATTGTTTTCTTTACCATTTTTCATAGATTCTGCTAAATAATGAGGAAGAAAAGTGTGTTTTTGTGTTGGTAAAGATCACTTCAACAGATCAGAAAAATAATCTAGCTGCTTAGAGGGAATCAATGGAACAAGGGCTAGATCAGGACAGTACAAATATGTAAACACAACCAGGGTGAGTCTGCCTCTGAGTGGTTTGTTTACACGCTTTAAAACGTGACTCCATCAGATGGCCAGAACACCTCAGCAGTAAATGCTTGAACATATGAACAGCTGAATGGATCATGCATCTTAGTCTATATTTAACCGAACAAGACTTGAATCCGTGTCAGAGCGCTTAGCTGCGACTCTGACCTCTTTATCTACTTCTTAATAAAAGCTCTGAAGCAGAACGGCAAACAATTGAAGTGATTCGAGAATCGTTTTGGTTCCGAGTCGAAACGGCAGTTTGGGTTTTGCTTTGACAAAGTGCATAATAATCTGAGTACTACAGGTATGTGAGGGAACATGTTATCAGATGGATCTTCCCGCTGAGGTGAAGATAAATGTTTCCAATGAGAGCCGTTTTAAAGCCGCTCAGAGGCTCGGCGATGACTCGGCGGAGCTCAGTGTTGAATGTAAACAGAAGCGGAGCTCCACGTCCTCACAGCAGCTAGTGGCTAATGCTAACTGCAGGAGAACGTGATGCCGGAAGAGGCAGAAAATTACCCGAACATTCATCACGATGCACCCATTTACTTCAATCGACAGCTATTATTCACTCAGAAAATCAGTCGGAAAGCAGGACGTGAAGAGACTCACCTCAAACTGCCAGTGGGCCGCCTGTAGAAGCTGCTTGGCCTGATCGGCGGCGCAGCCGGCCGTCAAAACAAACTGATTAATCATCACTTGATGTCTCAGTTCGTCCATGTTAACTGACATGGCTGCCTCAGTAAGTCGAAAACAAAACGGAGTAAAAAATAAACCAGTATTCGAACCACCGGAGCAACGCTTCGGTCCTCGCTGCCTGTCTTCGTCTCCTACCGCAGCCCTGTGCAGCAACAATATTTTCATGTCATCACCAACAACAAAGAAGTGTGCGCTGCTGATTGGATAACACCGCCGCGAGACTGTGGTAAAGAAACGCTGATTGGCTATCGACCGAAGAGTTTCAATCCATTGTGCGCTCGATTTATTGTAAAGGGACAATATAAGTGAGCGGGTTCAGTAAAAAAAGGCGAAGCGACGATCACTCCGCCCTCAATGGTTGTCCAAAGTTATCCACACGCACTTTTACTCATGACCGTTCTAATAGCGTAAAGTGTTTGATTGGGCAACGACAGCGAGTTCAGAGTGCTGATTGGCTGCTTCCTCCCAGGTTCATAAAGTTATATATCAATGGTTTACGAACTGTAACGTAAACAAAGTAATACACTTTTTAATCATCGACAACAAAAAAAGAATAGAAAAAAAGAAAAAATAATTAAAATGTACACAATTGTGATTAAATCATGTTTGTTTATGTTTTTATTATTACAGATACATATTTATAGTATGTAGTAAAACATTTTTTAACATATTCGTGTCAAAAATCCAAATTTTAGGTAGTAATTATGACGTAATGAGTCAACAAATTAGATCTTAAAGTGCACAAATTCACCAGAAGGAGATTTATTATTATTATTATTATTATTATTATTATTATTATTATTATTATTATTATTATTATTATTATCAACAGCAATAATAATGATGATAATAATAAATCTTATCAATCATATTACTTATTTGAAAGGAATAAACATAACAGAATGTGTTATTTCATTTTTAAATGTCATTTGTAAAATTAAGAAGAAAAAGGACATTTATTTTTTACATTATGACCTACATACTCTGCACATAATTAATTTAAATGTTTTGTTGTCTGTTAAAGACGTGCTGGACAACAATTTATGTTCTAAATTACCACATATGGCTAAATAATTAATGTGGTTGTGCAACTCAGTTGGTTAGATTTCATAGGAAACAATAAAAATGGAACAACTAATCAGTTTTTCATTAAATATTAGCTAAAGTGTTGTTTTCTAATGTTAGCTTTAGTGTTTAACAAGGACATTATTCCACTGTGAGAACAGAAAGAAGATGGAGAGATCAAACAGGGGTGTATTTCCACATATAAGTTGCAGAATAACATTCCAGATGAAAACTATTATTGTAAATGTTTACTCAAGTAAAGAAAAGTTAAATAAGTGTAGAAAAAGCAACAAAATGAGTCAAAACATTTGATTTAGGAATAATCCATCTTCTGAATGATGGTTTTCAGACATGCAAGCAGTTGTCTGTGCTTTGAGGAACATCTCGTTTTAAGGCTGATTGTTTTATGAAGGTGAAGTGTGACACTGGATCCGTTTATCATGGACTGATGGACTCACAGCTACTGCTCTCCTGATGGAACAACGCTAATCTTCTTATGGTGTGAGAGCAGCTCTGGCTGGAGGCGGTCCAGCTCATGTTCTGCCAGCCAGCTGAATTATTCAGCTGGGCTCCAGGTAGAAGCTTACAGGATTCAGGAAGCCATTTATTATGTATTGTTGGAGGGAGGAGGCGCTTGACCATCTGATGTCCCATGAAGATGTCCTGATAGTTGGAAGTCTGAATCCATGTCATTTGATTCCTTTTTTTGTAATGTTTGGGTGCATTTCCTCCAAGTATTGATGTTGTAAACCTCACTGCATGGTTATGGCACCACAATTTAACTCATGTTTTCATTCGGACCTCATCATAATTATAGTTTCCCACTGTGAATGAAGAACAGCTTGATACGGATTCATGTGACAAGTTCAGGCTTTATTTTAATGACAGAAACAGTCTCTCTGTCTGGATTTAAGCCCATTCTGTTGTGATTCTTCAGGTTCCTCCTGGTGGTCACCTTCTCACCTAAACAACAGTAAATCATTTGCAGTGGACGTCTTCATCTGCAGACGTTGTCTTCAGCAGCTTCCTGAATGTCTCTTTAGTCACCACCATGCAGATTTAGTAAAGCTGGAGTAATCTAATTACCAGGAGTGTTCTATGTAAAAAATATTTATTTTCTTCATTTCTGCTATTAAAAGAGTTTTAATTTTACTGACAATAAAATAGTAATATTTTACAGAGTTTCCAGGCTGCAGTAATTAAAATCTGCTCTGAGAAATGAAACGATTCTCACTGAATTAGAGAGACCCGCCTCTAAAAACCTGATGAAGATTTTCTACAAAGTGAGTTGATGTTTCGGGGTAAATAGTTTCAAGCTGCAGTTTTTCCCTTTTGCTACTTTTTTAAATCAGATTTTTACAGCAATCTGCAAAACCATTGCAGTGACATTTTCTTTTCTTCAAGTTTTCTCCATTAGAATTAGATCAGCAGCTCAGACATGCGAAGCTGAAAAAGACCAGAACACAAACCTTATAATGAGCCTCTTTTCCACAGATATGAACTTAAAACTTCAACTTGTAGCAATGCAGCGCCAAAAAGAAGGATCTCTGCAGCACCTTCACTTATACCTGATGGTGTCTGGCGCCCTCCTGTGTGCACCTTAGAAAATGACAATAGAATAGAATAGAATAGGATAGAATAGAATAGAATAGAATAGAATAGAATAGAATAGAACAGTCCTTTGTTGTCATTACACTGAAGGTACAATGGTAAAAAAGGGTTCCCATGCACAAAGCCATCCTGCATGACATCACCTGTATAAATGGCATCATTATTTTCTGTAATTGTGATTCTTGTTAATGCTTTTTTGTTTTTAATTGTTCTGAGTGTTTTTCCACAAGTGGCAGACATGGCAGAGTTAAATCACATAACATGGAACTGTGTTATCATTTAAAACACACAGGTCAGAGTTTAACACCAATGCTTTGTGACATAACTTGGACTAGAGCTTGTTGACTTGTTATCTTACTCATGCTGAACATAAAAATCGTTGTGGAAATGCAACATTACAACTCTCTGTTCTGATCAAGTCTATCTGCTGCTTGTCCTGTGAGTTACAGCAAGTTGATGAAGCATAGTCATTTCATGAAGTTGTTGATTGAAACACGAATTTGGTCACAAGATTTGCTCAAAATCCAATAAGAAATGGAGTTCACTCCATGACTTGCAGATCTTGAAACTTTTGGTGGTTTAAAAAAATGAGAAACTAAAATCATAACAATTACATGACAATATGAAAAGAAAATATTAAAGTACCACAAACATATCTATATCTATATCTAATTCAAGCTTTTAGTTCTTTTTAAAACACAGATTTATTTACCTGCAACGTTTTGTTTGCGGCTGCAAACTTCCTTCTCCGTTTATCCTAACGGAGAACTTAAAGATGGAATTAGAATTTCAACACAGCAAGAACACACCAAAGATCTCTCTCTCTCTCTCTCTCTCTCTCTCTCTCTCTCTCTCTCTCTCTCTCTCTCTCTCTCTCTCTCTCTCTCTCTCTCTCTCTCTCTCTCTAACAATATCAGATCTATTAACAAAGAATAATCAACAAAAACATTAATTTTCATTAATTTTGTTGATTATTCTTTGTTAATACATCTGATATTGTTATGTAGCCTTTGAGGTTAAAATGTTAGCACGATACTGTCAGAGGCTCCTGCTCCTCAAGAATCAAAACTTTGTTGTTTTAACAGTCTCTAACATATTTCTGGAAGAAGACTTTTGAAATTTAAAAGCACTTTCTTGTTGATCACATAAAAATGTTCAAACCAGACCGATTATATCAGACTCAGGGCAGTCTTCACTCATGCAGAAAGTAGGAGAAACACCTGAGGAGGAGTGTGATCCCCAATTCAGTGTGTGCTTATGCGCACCCCCCCCCCGACCCCCCCCCCCCCCGTGTGTGTGTGTGTGTGTGTGTGTATGTGAGCAGCGACGCTCTGCAGCAGCCTTGTTTCTATTTTACAGCTGCTTTTGTGAGGATCAGAAAACCAATGAGCCAAGCTAATAGCGTCTAAGGGACAGAACCTTTTTGTTTCTCCCTTCTCATTCCTTCTGCTTTATGATCAACTGTACATTCCTCCACCTCCTCCTGGGTCCAACTGAGTTTATCGCTGGATTAATTCAGAGGCTGCTGCCAACAGGACAACAATAATTTAGCTATAATCAAATCATCTTTCATTGACAGCTTCTGTCTGTTAACTTGCACTCTCCTCCAGTGTCTTAACCTTTTGATTACCGATAAGAGAGAAACAACATTGTGGAATAATTAAAGATGTGTCTAAGTTAAAAGTTAAGAGTTCTAAAGCAGGTCTAGCCTAAATATGGAGCAATGTTCAAACTGAATCTCCATGAAACTTCTTTATTGAACATTTTTGTTAAAATAAAAGTCATACCATCTTTAAAGCAACCTTCTACCTTTATTAAAGAGGATGTAATTCTTCAGTAAAGCCCAAGCAGGTCCTCTGCGGCCCGGACGGCATTTGACTTGAGGGTGATTAAAAATGAAGCGCCATGACTGGCCAATGGGGGCGCGGGAAGCTGTTTACAAGGGGGTGTACCGTTTCTATGGTTACCGGAGAAACCTCCTGCTCCAGGTATTAAACTGCCTCCCCGACGGATCCCACAGCCCGCTGACAGCCGCTACAAAGACCTCCGCGGAGGAGAAGAAGCGCCAGACGCAGCGCCATAACGCAGCCCGCAGGAATTCCTTCCTCACAGACAGACAGGTGCAGAGAAAGCAGGTTGAAAGTGAAAAAAATTGGGGCTCGTTTTTTTATTTGAAAAGATTTCTGCTCAACATACCAACTGATAACAGGTGAGTTTCAAAGAAACAATTAACTGATCTACAAATACCAAAACCGTTTTCCCAAAAAAACCGTTACATTTATTCTAACAGCCAGTCGGCCCATGAATATTTTAAAGGTTGAAGATCCAAATGCTTACCCATAAACGTTTGATTCTTGTGCGGGTTTTACGCAGCGCATGCTTGGTGCGTCATTTTCACCAACGATCTCAGGGCGAATCCTAATTATTTTATCTACATGGTTGGTTTAACCCTCTCAGGCTCAAAATAAGTTCTGATAAAAGCACGAACAAGTAAGTCCTTCAGGGGTACTTCTGAGTTAAAACATGCTCATGAAACGCGTGTGTGGAGTAACTGTCTTAACTGTTGCAAATATGCAACGCCTGCCGTTCCAGGATGGCTTTTGAACCCACAGAGCTGCGGATGATACTGTGCGCACTTCTCACACTGCGCTGAGGGTCAAGTGCGCAGCGGCTGCGCTTTCAGACGTTTCATTTTCTCGTTGATTTTATTCATCCGGATGACAAACACGACAGAGGACCTGAAGCATAATCTGTATCACCAGAACCGTTTTTGTTGCACTCTGTTAAAGTTGGGTATCTGTTTGTCTGGCAGTGGCAGGGGAGGAGGATAGAAGACTGGGAGGGAGCCATGCTGTCTCTGAGCTGTTCCGACCCCTGGCCCGAAGGCTCGGTGGGCCTAGAGGAGGAGGTGGTGACAGCCGCTGCTCAAGTTGAGGAGCGGGACGCCGGAAACAGGAGCTTCTGCAGCTCCTTGAGCCTGGACGACAGCCTGACCAGCCTGCAGTGGCTGCAGGAGTTCTCCATCCTCGGTGCGCAGGTGCCGCAGCAGACGCACCAGCAGCCGCACCTGTTCGGCCAGCAGCAGCTGGGGCCCGATGCTCCGTCCTCCCCTCTGGCCGGGGACCCCGCCTCCTTCGGGATGCCCCTGACACCAGGGAAGCCCACTGCGGCGGCCTACAGCAGGATTCAGCCGCTGCCCGGCATCGTGGTGCACGGCCACTGCCCGGATGAGGTGGACTATAAGACCAACGCGCACATCAAGCCGCCATACTCATATGCAACACTTATCTGCATGGCCATGCAGGCCAGCAAGAAGAGCAAGATCACCCTGTCCTGCATCTACAAGTGGATCACTGACAACTTCTGCTACTATCGACATGCTGACCCCACCTGGCAGGTAGAGAACCACACACACACACACACACACACACACACACACACACACACACACACACACACACACACACACACACACACACACACACACACACACACACACACACACACACACACACACACACACACACACACACACAGGACAGAGGATGTTGTTTTTGACACGCTTCTTTAGTGTGAAAATGAGTTTCTTATCTCCTGGATTAGTTTCGGCTTTGGGATTAGAGGCCACATCAGCCAGATTATCTGACTTTCCTTTTCCCTGTGAGGAAAAAAAGGTGATTCTGATTTTGTGTTAAGGAATGGCAGAGGAGCAGATTCCTCCTCAGAAGAACAGGAATTTTCCACAAAAGTTTAATTTTGCTGGATAAATGATTGATGAAGCGGTTAGCTGTACTTGTTCAGACACTTCAGAGCGTTTTGTTATTACAAGACGGTACGTGGGGCAGATAATATTTAACAAAGGTCGGCAGGCCATTGCTCTGTTTGGACCTCGGTGAAGACGGCCAGCTAGATGAGTGCATACACATCACACATGGGATTCATGGGATTCACTTCCTGTTCTAACAGGTTTAAAATTGACGCCTGTGAAGTCAAATCAATGAATCTGTGCTTTCAGAACTCCATCAGACACAACTTGTCGCTCAACAAGTGCTTCATCAAGGTTCCGCGTCAGAAGGACGAGCCAGGGAAGGGAGGCTTCTGGAAGATCGACCCACAGTATGCTGATCGACTTCTCAGTGGTGCCTTCAAAAAAAGACGGATGCCTCCAGTCCAGATCAACCCAGTTCTTCAGAACCGCCTCAGGGGAAACCTGGTGCCACGGTCTACTGTTTCTACCGGGACATCCATGGAGCTGAGCCCCAATCCTGAGTCCCAGAAACTCCTCCAAGAGTTTGAAGAAGTAACCGGAGATGACCGGATCTGGGAGCCCCATCTGGCTGGGGGAACTATGCTGGGCTCCTGGCCAGTGGTGACAGGAAGAGGTGGCCACAAGAGAAAACAGTCCCTTGGGTCAAGATCTGGAGTCAGCAAAGCTTCCCGGCACTCCAGCTCCCCTCTGCTTGGTGTGGATGAACAGAGGGAGATTGAACCTTTGAAGGGACACTTCGAATGGGATGCCTTGTTGGACTCAGCTCTTACTGGAGAGCTCAGTCTGGATGAAGGGGAGCCTCTGAGCCCTATCATGAAAGAAGATGAGCTGACTTTAAAGGTGACCCGCACCTCACCACCTGAAGCTCCAGCAGGGATGAGGGACCAAAGGAAGGACGACGAGTCTGACTTTGATGAGGAGACCTTCCTCGCCACGGCTTTCCTGGAGACGCCCTGGCCAGAGGAGGAGCAGGGTCGTAGCGACTTCCTGTGTAACTCCACCGTCAATCTGGACCAGCTATTTGACCTCGGAGACTCCTTAAACATGGACAGCAGCCGGATTGACATCCTCCTTTGAAAGAATAGAGTACAAACTTTCTTCAGTATCACAGGGAGATCCAAATCTTTTTGTTTTTGCTGTCAATTGACCTTTTTCTGTCCTTGTCAAGTTGTTTGATGTGCTTTGAGAACTCCATTTTAATCAATATTCCCGAGAAACAATTTCAAAATCAACCTAACAAAGATGCCACAAATGGAAGCAAAAGATAATTTCATGAAAAATGTATGATATCTATCAAACATGAAAGTTGAAGAAGAAAAGAATCCTGGACCCATCAGACGGTTCAACCCGACAGTAAATTTCAGGATAACCGGAATAACTGAAGTAGAGCGTCTCTTAATGTCCTCATCTTGCTGATGCTACCAGCCATTTCTTATAAAAACGTATTTCGGCATAGAAAGAATTTTTTGTATTCAGTCAGTTTTAGGTTTATATGGTGTTTTGAAGTATGTTTGACACAATATGTGGAACAAAGTGTTTCCACTAAGTTGTCAAATCAAAATCCTGGAGCTCCTGGCATTCAGTCCAGTCAAAGCAGACATTTTAAATAACTACAGCAGGTTTAGGATTAGTTTAGTTGAATTTCATTAAAAAAGGAACTAATCTGTTTGACTTCAGTATTTTGTTATAACTCTCACGCTTGGTTTATGCTTGACGTGTTTGCTTTCCGCGCGGTGATGCGGCTCGCGGATGGAACGCGCTTCACAACTCGCAGCGTTTATGGTTCATGCGGCTTGTCTCTGCGGTGAGCCAATATTCTCCCAAACTGTAGGGGGCAGCATGGAGCGCTACGGCATGCATCCAACACTACACCATAGTAGAAGAAGAAATTACTGTTTACAACATGGCATTCCAGCATTTTTTAACAGCGTCCTCGTCTTTTCCGACAGTGTGAGCTATTTTTCTCCAAGAATTATTAACAACATGTTGATCACGGTGATCTCTGAGAGCTGAATCATACAAATGTCTGTATTTACGAACCTCTGCCATACTAGTTCTTGCCAGACCGCCATGTTTTTCCGCGTCTGACCGTCCGCGTGGTTAGAAAATTTCCTAGGTGTGCGGTGCGGAAAGTTTGGGCCGTGCGGAGGCGCGGTGGAGGGGCGAGGTTGTTAAAATGACACAACTTTTCCGCGCGGAGCTGTGCGGATCTCGCGGACGCGGCAAGCACAAACCAAACTTTAGACTCTTCTCGAGGAACCATTTATGCTCCTGTCTCTTTATGAGGCCCCTCCCTAAAGAAAATACAGTGACAGGTAACCGACTACACCTTTAACGGAAACCAGAGGTGAAAGGTCATGATGGAATCTAGATATTCTAAACAGAGACACAAATAAATAACTATTTATTCATTTAAAACCTGTTTGAGCTGTAGAAGTTTTAATCTGTTAGAAACGAACCTTACTGATATTTCTTTACTTTCAAGAGAAACCGTTTAAAAAAGAGATTTACGACATTTAAAGGAAAGACTGCACAGGTTTGTCTTTTGGACTTATTTATGTTTGTGATGTGTCCCGGCCGTTACGGCAACACAACACGGTCTCTGTTTACGTTGATAAAATTCTGTGTTTCCTTGAGGAAATGTTTGGCTTACGTTTTATGAAAACTGATCCTGAGTTGCTTTCTGTGAGGCCAACCCTTGAATTCTCAGATGAAACGTTATTTTGACGACAGGAGCACTATGATGATTAAGTCAAAGACATTTGCCAATATTTTGTGCAGGAGTGTATTATTCCATCACCTTTTTTGGTTTGTGTGGAGATTTAATAATATAATGTTTCTTCTTTATGTATTTTTTAGACAACGAAACTAGTTTCACCACTTTTTACCACCAGATAGCTCATCATTTTAACAAAATGCTTCTAGAAGTATTACATTATCTCTTGCTGTAACTTTTTAGCTAATAGATGCAAATTAAAACAAGTTTTGAAGGAATGAACAGAGAACAGCTTGAGGCAGACTCCTCCAGTAATTAGGAAGTTAAAGTGCTCTTTTTTAGAAAGCCTTGTAAATGAGTAGCTGACCTTCTATGTGCCAAGAACAACACTCGGGACTCTACAGGGTGATGGCGGTGTTTTAATTCCCGAGGGGAAAGCCGTTTTTGTTTCGGTGTGTGCAGGGGGCTGGTGCACTAACCGAACCGAGCATGACGACAAACAGCTGATACAGAAAGGTAAGGTGTGTGAAAGTGCAATCAATGTACAGCGATACCTGTTTTTATTTTACACAGTAGGAGCTTTTTCATGCTGTTTACTTTGGGAAAACTAGCTTCACTGCTTTGTGTATTTAGAGGTACGAACACAGTTTATCGGGTAAAAGGACGTGTGTGTGTGTGTGTGTGTGTGTGTGTGTGTGTGTTAGCTAAACTCAATCAAACACTTATAGCCTCTTACCTCACGATTAACTCTGTAAGAAAACACTGATGTCAGATATTGTATGTTTTGTTTTATGTTACTGTTATTATTTTCCACTTCACTTTGACAATAAAATTGTTTTACAGCATCTTTTTTGCCATTCCTAACAAATTTTGTTATTTTGTGCAGAAATATCTCCACTACCACTAATGAGCAGGTATTTATTTACTCGTTATAGTTTCGGAGGATAAAGCCCCTTGAGATGAAACATTTTGTTTTTGAGAGGGCCCTCCGTCATTTACAAGATAAAGATGAAGACAGTAAGATGACAAGTAGTAGAGAGATTTGAGAATATACATAAATAAATATATATATATATATTAACAAAACTATCGATATACACTCACCCAAACACAAAAATTATTCTAGTTGTAGTCATAACTGAACACGAATTAATCTGGCATGGCCCATCTTCAGATCCAAGCTCAGAGACAATAACAGGCTAACAGACAGTTTTCTGAAAAGAAGGAAAAGATGCGATCGACCACATCAACAGGGAAGCTATTCCAATCCAGTGGGGCTTTAACACTAAAAGCTAGTTTTTCAACTTAGATCTAATTATTGGAACTAAAAGTTGATTTGATAAGCTCTGTGACCCTTGACCTCCACGCACAGGTGAATCCAATTATGAGAAAGAGTATTTAAGGGGGGAAATTTCATATATTCTCAGAAGAGAAGCAACACGGGGTCTCAAAACAACTCTCAGATGACCTGAAAACAAAGATTGTATGTGTTTTTATGATGGTTTGCTAAAAACGTGTGTATCTGTGTTCACGGAAGCAGGTGTCTTTGGGGCTGCCAGCGGAGGCTGTGCTTTGTCATAAAGTAGTCCCAAGTCTAAAATGGTGCCTGTGATTCTTTTATGCTACTTATTATTTTTACATGCAGTCAGTCTGATTATTTAGGTCACCAAGCAGAACTGGGGTCACAACTGATAGCTGCCGGTCTTCCCCTGACTGAGTACAGTATAGTACCCTAAAGGTCAGAAGTCAATGCTTATCAAAATGACAAAGAAAAAAGCAAACAGGAAAACAAGAGCTACAGAAGTTCTGGATAGAATGTTATGAAATGATTTTGAATTAGCTCAAACCTCCAAAAATGTAGGTAAAAGCTTTTGTACGGGTGAAACTCTAAAAATGAGAATAAGATGAAAAGTCTTTTTTTTTTCACGCAGCTTAGTAAAAAAATAGTTTTTTACCTCACATGTTTCAGCTAATGACTCCAGCCATCATCAGAGTTCATCGGTGCTGGTTGCGTTACTTCCGTTTATTTGATGATGAAACTTTTAAGATGAAAAACAATTTTTAGCAAGACTGAGAGACGATCTAAAGGCTCAGGAACCCTTTGCAGGTGTTCTGGATTCATTATCTTATTAGAGTGTGACACTTTGTCTAGAATATTGAACCTTTTAACCTAATAGAGGTTTTGAATCTGGGGTTTTCATAAGCTGTGTGATCATCACGATTATGAACTTAAAAAAAAGAACTTTTACACTGTATTTATTTATTTTTTAGTCGTACCTGTATTAACAACATGGGAACAAATATATCCTGAGTGGGTCAGCTGACATCAGTATGCTGAACTACAAAGTAGATCTTGTTTAAGTCTGCTGAACATCGGTACGTCAGCTGTGAGCTCAAACCTCCTGATAAAGGCGCCCCCACCCGGCTGCCTGGTTAGAAGATTTACGTGTCTTTTCCTGCTCATCTCTGCTCTGTGATCAGGCTGTGGCGGGTAAGAGTGGCAGGGGGTGTCTGGGCGTCTCTTTCAGGGCTTTGTCTCTGCTTTGTCACACTGTTGTTTCCAATTGGGTTTGGATCTGTGGCCCTTCGTTGGGTTGGTGTGGGGTCTAATGGGGACAAATGTCCCACGGCCCCATATATCAGGGCCTCTCTGGCCTGTTGGAGACCCCGCCGTCTCTCTGTGACCCTGCTGCAGATTAGAGCGGTGGTTCACGTTCAGAGAGTCCCATGAATAGCTGCAGTAATCAAATGCAAGAGGGCCGTCGCCCCCCCCCCCCCCCCCCCCCCCCCCCAGGGTCGTGAACAGACAGGATCTGTGTGAGCTGTGGTCGGTGATGAGGTAATGATGAGATGAAGGGTGAAGATAAAGTTCTGTAACTCTACACCTCTGTGTGATGGACACCCCGCACTCCAGTGCAGAGCCAGGATCCTGAATCTTCATAGCCGACCAGAAACTATTTTATCCTGGAAAGGAGAGCTGATGTCCCCCGAGCCTGACATCCCTGCAGGCCCCCCTGGACAGCTATTACTGCAGGACCGAGTTCTCCAGCTGGATTGTAGGACTCCTGATCATAATGCAACTGGTGGGTTAGGCGAGAGGCCCGTGGTAACCTGATGCAGGTATTATTGCCCGGCCGTGCTGACGGCTGCAGGTAAGAGGAGCCTCCAGCTGAAACGCGAACCCTCGCTGCAGCTTCCAATGCTGAAACGCTGCAAACTGAAAGTGCTAAACATCAACACCCGACGTGGCCGAGATAACGATGCATCCATTTACAGCAAAGTTCAGCTGATGTGAGCCGTGGAGGTGTGTTGGTACTGACACGTTCGTCTTGAAAGGTATAATTCATTCACACTTCTCATACAAGCACCAAGGAGGAGTTCATCAGGTACATGAAGTTAATGGCTCTTAATAGAATAAAAATATATTTACATACTTCAACCGCTGAACAACCTCTTGACACATTAACTTTATTTACATATGTTCTGTTATTTAAATACTTTAAAGTGTGCAGCTTTTACAGAAAAACATTCTAAACCAGACAGCAAATCAGTAAAATGCAGCAATATTTTTATTTCTTTTAGACAGAAGTCAAGTTACGGTGAAGGTATTTGCCTCTTTCTCCCATTAGCTTCACTATATTTATCCATTTTCATCCTTTTCTTCACTTCAAGCTGGTTTTTGTTCTGAAAATCATTTTTTCATGTTTTATAGTGTCTAAAAGGCGGGAATAGATTAATGTGAACAATGATAAGGAGGCAAGCGCCATGTTCTGTTTGCTTCTTGTTGTTTCTCTCTGCTCCAGTCATTCAGGGAGTGACGGTTAGGAGATTTTCCTGTAATTGGTGGGTTGCCGGTTTGAACCCAGGTTCCAACCAAGCCCCCACAATGCGGGTGAAAAATTGAGTCCAATGCAGAAATGAAATAAATTGCAGTTCCACCCTTATCCGCTGGGGGCTGGTGTCAGAAGCGAGCAAATCCTCATTGACTCCCATGTTAATAAACATGTTTACAGCCTGGTACCAAAACATGTTTTTGGTTTAAATGATCTAGTTTACACTCATGACAACTCTGAGGGGGGTGAATTTTTTTCTCACTCTTCTGTTTAAGTGTATTAAAAGCCTAAAATTCTGTATAATTAATGAGCATCAGACCCACGTGACCACAGAGCTAGCTCCGTGGAAAGGCATCAGTAGAGCCTCGTCTGGCCTAGAAACTGTTCCAGGATTTTGAGTCTCTGTGTTTGTGTATTCTTTTTTGGATATTATTTGTGCAATTGTTGGACAAAATGACTTGCTGTGGCATTATTTGCACTAATAGAGCGTCCAAGGAGTCTCCACTTCATTTTTTTCTGTAAGTAAAATTATATTTATGTATTTTAGGTCACTGCCGAGCTGAGCTTAGATTTTAACATGTACTGTTAAAATCTAAGCTCAGCGGTCAGCCCGGCGTATCTCTGACTCAGAAGCTCTGGTGTTGTGCACAGTTAATTCCGGTTGTAGCTAGGTAGCTACCTCCGTTAGCTTAGCTCCCACCTCCGTGTTAGCTTTGGGTTAGCTTCAGGTTAGCTTGTAGCTAGTTCGACCGGGTGTCGTCAGCTGATCGTTGGTTACGTATTGTAACCCCAGATTCTATGAGTCTAGTCGCAGCCCTTAAGCTAGCTGCTATTGGAAAGATGATCTCCGCATCAGCCAATAATGAAGAGCTAAAATGTACGCCCACCAATAGTGGGCCCCCTCGTGGTATATAACTGCAGTGACCCCACTGCTCACCTCCAATGGCTCTTATTCCCATCATAACCAGTGGGGCCAGTGGCTTAAGGGCTGCGACTAGACTCATAGAATCTGGGGTTACAATATGTAACCAACGTTCTATTTCGTCTAGTCTTAGCCCTTAAGCTAGCTGCTATTGGAAATAAAGCACAGCTGGATGGGTTTACGCCACACTGGTTAACACAACCAATGGACACCCCCAATCAAATCTCCTCTAGTGGGGGACGTTCAGCCTCAGACCAGGCTTAAAGACTGAGGCAGGCACGATAAGAGAGGGGCCCCCACTAAAAAACATCATCCATAAGAGGATGAAATCCATCTCAGCAAAGCCAATGAGGTGCCATAAACATTCATTCAGCCTGCTGGGGTCCAAGCACCGAACGAGTGATGGAACCTGAAGACACATCTTGTAAATAATAACGAGTAAAGGAACAGGGTGAGGCCCATGAAGCAGCCTGACAAATGTCTTCCATTGACACACCACTGAGGAGCGCCATCGAAGAGGAAATGCCCCTGGCTGAGTGAGCCCTGAGTGCCTCAGGGGGATTCTGCCCTGATGATGTGTAAGCAAGGGAAATGGCGTCACACAGCCAGTGTGAAAGACGCTGGGCCGACAGCGCCTGACCAAGGGAAGACTCCCTGTAGTGCACAAACAGGTTTTGTGAGCGACGAATCCCTGAAGTGCGTGACACATATCGTGCAAGCGTGCGCACCGGGCAGAGAAGGTGAGAAGCCACCTCCTCCTCAGAATTATGGGGAGGAGGAAAAAGTCCAGCCAATGAAATTGACCTGGATTTGAAGGAAGCATTAATGCTTTTGGGCACAAAGGCTGGGTTGGGGCATAAAACAGCAGACCCGCCATCCACCCAGATCCTGAGGCATGCGGGAGCCACTGAGAGGGCGGTTAGGTCACTCACTCTCTTAACTGATGCTAGTGCCAGCAGCAATGCAGTTTTAAGTGACAGGAACATGAGTGAGACCTGGTCCAAGGGTTCAAATGGGGCTCCAGATAAGCCACGCAGAACCACCGTTAGATCCCATTGGGGAAAAAGCGGGCGGGACACAGGTCTGTTCC